CCCCCCCCCCCCCCCCCCCCCCCACCACAAAACGAGCAATCGAGTGACGTGTTTGCGCGCAAGCCGCCCCGTCATTTCATCAGCAAAGAGGCTCGGAGCGCGTTTTTCGTGGCTCCTCCGGCTCTTCTATGCAACAAGACCATCAGGAGCGCAAGTCGCAATCCACCACAACAGAGGGCTCAACTTCTTCTCTAACTTCTTCTCCGACGTGTTGAACACGACCTTGCAGGGAAAAAAATACGCCAGTCGGTCGCGCAGACGTCACATGAAAAATCCAGGACCAACCATCGAACAATCCAGGATTTCATGCCCGGCTGGTGGTTCTCAGAGCAACAACCTCCGCGCAGCATCTGAACAGCAAGCATGCTCTAGTACAGCAGAAGAACTGGATCATATTTTTCTCCCTTTGTCATCTCTGAGTACGATTTGCTTACGGGAGGATGGCCTCCAACATCCTCGATCGTTTTTTTCAGATGAATTTGTCCTTGGCCTTTCCAGCCGCGTTGACGGCGAGCGGGCTGGTGCCGTCCGCCCCGCAGATCACGGGGCCGCTGCCACCGCCGCCCTTGCCGGTGTAGGAAGGCAGTCCCTCGAACAGGCGTCCGGCGGGACACGTCGCGGGTCCTAGGTCCTCGATCTTGTACCTGCCAGTGTTGTATTTGTCCGGCGTTTGTGGGAGACCGTTCATCGCAGGCGTGGGAACGAGGAGGCGGGGGGGTCGTACTCTGGGGCGGGGCGTACTCATGTAAACGCATGCCGTAGTCATTAGGCCATCGACCTCGCATCCCTACAATGCCGGGACGGAGCATTATGCCGGGTTTTCGCCGGCCCAGGCTACGGTTCACAAGGATGAACCAGACGCTGGTCATCTGCTAGATGGTCCCCATTTACCAAGCCCCGGGAGGGGGCGCATCATTGGGATTCGCCCACCAGGCACGAGAGGGACCAATCCACAAGCACCGTGGGGGGTTCGGCGAGTCGCATCGAGGGCGAGATATTTAGCTGCCCACGCTGCGGATCGACCGACGGTGAGGCGGGCTCCGATAACTTCGAGCACAATCTCCCTCGCATTCAAGTGACGGAGAGAGGAGGACGGGTATGATCACGAACGGGATCGGAGGAAAAGAGGTACACAAATAAGGGGAGGTGAGGAAAAAGGTACACAAGAACGCTCCCGGCCTCTAGTTATGTTCGGACTTTTTCGTGTGACGACAGGCTTGCCCCTTGAACTGTAAGTCTTCTTTTCTCTCTTTCTCTTGCAAAACGCAAAAGTACAAACGACAACATCAAAACTTCACACCGGGACGAGGGCCATCATCGACGGCCGCTCCCACGTACGCGGCCAAACGAACGAACAACCTGCCCCGTAGAATGAACGCGGTACTTCGGTGAAAGTCATTGCCAAACAACACAACAAGCGGAAAAAAATCAAGCACGCGTGATTGACGTGCGACGAATCTCTCTCCTGGCTGGCTCGCTTACCCGTCCCGGTAGTACAAACAGCCCAGCTGAACGTCGTGGAATGGGTCATAAACCGGTTTCACGAGGACATCGGAAGAGCTTCCTGGGACACAACAAGGGCGTCCGGCACAGGGCGCCGGGGAGGGGATGAGTGATGGTAGGGGGTGGGCAGCAATTCATCGAGAGGTGTATGTACCCCAAGCGCGAATAATTTTTCACGAGAAGAGAGACATCTTCGTGGTTTCTATTTAGTGAAAATTCAGTGGCGGTCCCTGGGTACTGCCGGCATGTGCCCGCCAGATTCAACGGCGCAATACCAGGCAGCATTCGCCACTACCCAGAGAACGAGACAACTTCAACGTTCAGTCTCCTGTCGTGTGATTTCACCGGCACTCTATATGCAAACCGAGCACTTGGCACTACTAGTCAACCGGCAATATTGAGGTCCCCCCACTATTTTCACCATAATTATGCCGCGTTTTATGAAAACTCACCACCCTCAACGCCCGAGAGGGGAGTGCGCCGGACGGCCATGAAGTCGGGGCGGGGCGGCAGCAAGAAGCGGATGAACAACGCGCGCATCCACAGGCTTCCCTTCATGAACCACTGCAAGAGGGTCGGCGCCTGCGAGCAAACAATCAAAATGGCGTGTGAAACATGCTTTGTAATTGTTTTCTCGACCACCGCAACACAACCCGTCGACAACTTTGAGGCAGCACAATATCAACCGCGATTGGTAGTTGCTCATGAACGCCGTCGATGGATCCTTCGTGGACGACTCGATCAACACGTCAATACCGTAGGTGACATATGGTATCACATCGCCTGGGCCGAATGTTGAAGCTCGATTGCTACACAGCAGAAAGAGTGCTGGCGCCGATAATGGCGGCGTTGGAACTGTCTCATCGAGAGCTTTCCGAAAACGTATCGTTTGGAATGAACACCGTCGTGGAGTAGATCTGAGTATCGGTTCAGGGGGTGGGATTTCCTGCCACCTACGGTACCCCCCCCCCCCCCAACTGAACGCGACGTACGTCATAGAAAACACTCCCCCCTGGTTGCTACAACGACAGACGAGGACGGACTACCATCCCCTCTCCCCTCACGCCGCCTCGAACGCATCCCGACGGAAAAACTCCTCTTAGCCCAGACACCCACTCGTGTCTCCCCCTTCGGACTGCCTAGTGCGATTACTACGAACAAAGACCAGGGAGGGGGCAGACCCTAACCGTAACCCTAGCCCCTAACATAGCCGATTCTATACTTTATCCAGCATGTTTGCTTACTCTACCTAGAAAAACCTGCGTAGACTACTGCCGCCCCCCTCGAGCGCCCAAAAAAACACTACGCACCGTAGGGAAGCCAAAGGCCTTGAGCAGGGGCGGGTCGATGAGCGCGTACACGCCCCAGCGAGCGGCCGATTGCAAAGCCTTGGAGGGCACGAGAGAGACGAAGAGGTCGACCGTCACGCCGGCGATGGCGGCGTTGCTGGCGGCGAACCTATAGTGCTCCTTCTGTTGGTAGGGTTCGGGGTTGGGGGTCGGGGTCGGGGTTGGTCTTTCGGCGGCGCTTGCTGTTGTCGTTGCTTGCTGCTGCTGTTGTTGTTAATGTTGTTGATGTTGTTGTTAGGGTTAACCCTAACCTAACACTTCGTCGCTTGTTGCTAGGTTTGTTGTTGTCGGTTCTTCTCTTTCTCTGGTTCTCATAGCGCAAAGCAGTGTAGTCACCGTGGTCGCCAACCGGCCAATATCCACGGGGTACAGGCGCAAGCTTCGCGCGACACCAAGAAAGCCCCACGTAAGCGGGCAGTAGCACTAGAACTCACTACTACAAACCACGACCGACCGCAAATCACACGCACCCCAAAACAAAAACAACGAATCAGTACACAACACAACCGACGAGAAACCAATTCACAACAACGACGACTCCTACCGAGCGCTTCACGCACCGCGTAGGCCGCCTGAAAGTCGTCGGCGTCCTGCCACGTCTTCCAGGAGTCTACGCCCTTGATGCCCATGCGCCTCCCCATGTCCCCGTAGTGTGCCAACAGCGCCTCCTTCTCCAAATCCGTGCAGCGTCGCCACCCGTACCTGACAACGAGAAAGGGGATAGGCACACGTGGAGGAGGGGAGGTTGCGTTTGTGAAAGAGATGGGCGTGGGCGGATAGACGGTTGAACAGAGGGAAGGAGAGGGAGAGGGAGAGGGACAGGGAGAGCGGGGGGAGAGAGAGAGAGAGAAAAGTGACAGAGAGCGTGAGTGAGAGGGAGCATTAAAATGAAAGTGACTTCACGTGTTTGTCCGCACAACGAGCTCATTCCAGAGGGGTGGGAGCGGGGAACGAAGAGAGAAAATAAAAAAAGATCGGTCTGACCGTAAGGCTGTGAGTCAGCTAGAGGACAGAGGTGCGATCGATTTTCAAAGCACAATTTTTTCACAACCAGGAGGGTGCGAGCGCTAACTGATACTTCTCAGGAAAGCTCTCGATGAGATATTTCCAAAGCCGCCCTTTTCGGCAGTGGTACGGTAACCTCCTGGTTGTGGGGAAGTTAGGCTTTCAAAATCGTGCGCACCCTTGTGCGCTGACTCGCGACCGTACGCTACTTCTTACTATATGGTTGTTTACAAAACAAGTTCGAGCTCACGGGTGCACATTAGTGCCCTGTTGTGTTGATGACGAAAGAGCCACGGGGGTTCATATACGAAGCTCGGTGAGTTCTGAATACGCACGATTTTCCGAAAACTAGTACACCCCCCTCCCCCCTCCTAGCTACCCCCCCGTGTCTGCCATCGGGGTTGGGTTTTCGTCGCTTGGCAACGATGTTGTAAAACAAGCAGATCACTTCATGAGCTCGGCAACCAGGTTACCGTTTTTTTTTGCCTCTGTTTTTTTTTTAAGGTAACCATGAATGGTGGTCGAGTTGATAATGTTGTGCGGGGTCGAGAACCCTCACTCCGTCACTCCGTGCTTAGGGGATAATCGCACCATGTTGTGTTGAATTGGTCAAGCACCCTCGATGCAGTTACACAGTGCCTACAACTGTCTCTAGAAGTGAAAGCACCAGAAAGTAAATTAAGTCATGCGCAGCTGTCATCCGTACGAAAGGAAGTAGGCACAAGATGCTGAACACCCACAGCAGAATGCAGCGCACCCTTCCTGTGACTCGCCGAAGACCTCACGGCGCTTCGCGCTTGGTGATGTTAGAGTCGGTGAGAACCCGGCGTGCTCTATCCCGGCTTTGTAGGGATGCAAGGTCAATGGTCTTACGACTACGGCATGCACGACTATGAGTACCCCCTCCCCCCCCTCCCCCGGTGTTTGCCATCGGGGTTGGGTTTCCTCCGCGCAAAGGGGATAGTCGCACCCCGTCGTGTTAAAATGGTTAGGCACCCTCGAGGCAGTTACATCCTGCTTACAACTGTCTCTCCAAGTGAAAGCACCAGAAAATGAATTAAGTCATACGCAGCTGTCATCCTTACGCAAGGAAGTAAGCACAAGATGCCGAACACCCTTAGCAGGATGTAGCGCACCCTTCATGCGACTCGCCGAATATATCACGGCGCTTCGCGCTTAGTGGTGTGAGAGCCTGGTCCGGTGAGAACCCGGCGTGCTCCGTCCCGGCTTTGTAGGGATGCGAGGTCAATGGTCTAACGACTACGGCATGCACGACTATGAGTACCCCCCCCCCTTGCTGCAATGCCCGCCCCAACGACGGTTGACGAAGTCACCTGTTGATCCACAGAGCCGGCGCGGTGACGAATTGCGAGAGCGTGAAGAGCATGTCGGCGTTGCTGATCTCCTTGGCGTACATGGAGTGGATAGCGTTCAGCCGGCCCATGGCTGTCCTGCTCCGGTCTCCGTCCTTCCCGCCCTCGAGGTACTCCCGAAGGATGAGGTCCGTGTCGTCGTACCTGTAAAATGTTGTGCGGCAACGTGTTATTCTCCGTTGTTGCTGCTATTTTCTGTCGCCAATGTCGTTATTGCTGTCGTGTCAAGGCCCTATCTGCAATGAACCCATACAGTCGAGCACACGCCCCACTTCCATACGTCCATATGCCCCCAGCATGCCAAAATGACACGACCTCTCTTCCGCCATTATAATCCATACAAGGAAAAAACAGCATGGTTCCGAGGACGACGTTGAGACCCCAGCACGAAAAAATCCTCTAGTCGAGATGGTGCGACAAGGAATAACCAAAGACAAGACACTGCAGGCGGAGGGACTGTTTATGTTCGTCCAACTCCCACCTCTTGCCGACGTGTTTCCGAAACTCGCCCGTCTTGTCAAGCAGCTTCGAGATGGAGGGCACGCCGTAGGTCGCGAAAAGTGCAAACTCTAGCGACTTCAGAAGTTGTCATTCGGGAGGGACGGAGGGCGTAGCAGTGGCAACGGCGAAGAAGTGGGAGGTGTAATCATAGCCGTGCATGCCGCAGTCGTTAGACCATTGCCCTCGCATCGCTACAAAGCCGGGACGGAGCACGCCGCGTGGTCGCCGGATCAGGATGGCACATCGGGGGGGTGGGTACTCCAATCATTGTAGTTTTCAAGGCATGTGCGTGAGAGGGAGACGTTGGGTCTCACGACTCCCTTGCCTCCTCGCGAGGAGCAAGATTCACCCAGGTTGCAACTCCCCAAAAATAGTGACCTTTCATTCATACAAGGCATCGCCTCAGCGGCCGCCACACCATGCTCCACCACTCCTACCTCCTAGCTGTATCTTCCTCCAGATTCGCCATTGCTGTGGTTTCGGCAATAAAAGATCTCGCTCTCATTTCCACCCGATTGTATCTGCACCCGCACAAGATCCGTACCGAACTTTCGGGGTCGCCCGCCAATGCAAAAGATAAGGTATGCACACAATACCTATAATATTCTGTGAGAAAGGCACAAAAACTACCTGCCCCCTACCCTCCACCCCCGCCCACATAAAGAAAGGCCTCACCTTGGTCATCAAGAAGGGGAATTCCAACTGAACCATTTGACGAGCCACTTCGGAGCAGTCCTCCTTGGCGTCCAGGCTCTTCTGCAGCCGGCGGATCCTGCAAAAAAAAAAAACACGTTCCACCGCGCGCATGTATGCATGCATGCTTCCGTCTTCTAAGACCAGGGAAATCTCTTTCTCTGCATCCTGCTGAGGGTGTTCGGCATCTCGTGCTTACTTCCTTGCGTACGGATGACAGCTGCGTATGACTTAATTTAATTTCTGGCGCTTTCATTTCCAGAGACAGTTGTAAGCAGGGTGTAACTGCCTCGAGGATGCTTGACCAATTTAACACAATGTGGTGCGATCATCCCCCTTGAGCGGAGTGAGGCTTCTCCACCCCGCACAAAATGATCCACTCGACCACCATTCATGGTTACCGCCAAAAAAAACAGAGATAAAAACCCCCCGGTAACCTGGTTGCCGAGCTCACGAGGTGAATTGGTTTGTTTTACAACGTCGTTGCCAAGCGATGAAAACCCAATCCCGATGGCAAACACCGATGGGGGGGCTTATTTTACAACGTCGTTGCCAAGCGACGAAAACCCAACCCCGATGGCAAACACCGGGGGGGAAAGAGCTAAAGGGAAGAAATAAACAAACGCCCACCACGCCCAGCATATGCTACAGTCAGCTGAAGACTTCCGGGTCCTCTCCGAGCTTTGACAGAAAAGAAGCAAGAACTCCGACAGCAGCGAAAACAAACGACCAAGTTAACTTGTTTGTCAACGCGCATGTGTACGATTCTCCACCAAGAGTTTGGCGCGCGTTCCGCTTTTTTCGCCTCTAGCACTTTTGTGGCGTCGCTGCTGCTGTTGTCGACTCGCCTCCGGAAGCGCAGCAGCTGTACCACGCCCAGGTACACTGCCAGCGCGGCTAGCCCCCCCGTTGCGATGGAATATGAACCGTTAGCCATGATGCCGCCATCCACCATCGTTGTTCCGTGTGCTCTCTTGTCCAGCAAAGACGACGCGGGGCTCCTCGTTTTGGTTTTCGCTGTCTTTCCTCCTAGCTGCTGCTGCTGCTGCTGCTGCTGCTGCTGCTGCTGCTGCTGCTATGTGGTGTTGCCCTCACCCACCCTTCTCGCGAGCTGCTGCCACACGCATGCACCATTCCGGAGAGAATTAATTGCGTGCAAAGTTGGAAACCATGTGGAACACCATTCTTCTACCCGCCGCGTAACCTATGCTTTTGATACGTGCGCAGGCTAAGCCCAACAAGCCATCCATTCAGGCCCTACGACTGGCAACGGCAGAAGACAGACGCGATACCGTAAGACAAACAACGGCCTTCACAGTCTTCGCAGGGGGGGGTATTTTGGTGTCAATACGGTAGAATTGTGCGTGCAACGCCGTCTGATGGTGTCTTCCATAGGAATTCTCATGAATAGACTATAGCAATCAATACCAGCAAACGATGTCGGCAATAACCACGACGCTGGCAATTGATGCGAAAGCACATTACCACATCAATTTCTTGGTCGGCGGGACGGCCACGCAAAGCGCGGGACAAGGCTCCAAACAGTTGGTAAACGTTGTCCGGAATGGTTTCTATGATAGCGTGGTGCCACACTTTCCTAGAAAGGCCATCAAGGAATAAATGTCGTCACACGCAAGAGTCGACAAGATGAGAAAAGTTCAATATTGGGAAGTGCTGTCATCCTGTAGACAAGGGTAATACCATCAAGCAACATAGCGCAAGTTCGTCCATCCGAGAACGAGCTGTCCTTGACGCGCCAGTCTCAGCAAACCCTCACGCACAAGGGCCTGTCCTGTCAAGATACGCTTGCTGGTTTCTAGCCTGCGAAATCGAGTGACACGAGTTAAACATTGAAGTTGTCTCATTCTCCGAGTAGCCCCGGATGCCCGGTATGATACCTGAGAATCTGACAGTCACAATTTATTGAGAGATGCTCACTGTGATGAGATTAAGGACTGGCTGTTGCTGGGTTGAGGCAGCCCCCCTAAGTGCTACCACGAGAGCGAGCTAAGCGCTCGAAAGTGAGAGAAAAGTAGAAAAATCCTACTCGGACTAAAAACTGGGAAGCATTGGTACGTATACGTGTGTTGAGATTTCATCGCGGAGAGATTCCGACCACTGCTGTGTGCACGCCTTGCGGGTGCGTTTCAGTCAATCCCCTTTTCCTCATCTTTCCCAATTCCATCAGTCGCACTCCTACGCTACATGCTGAAAGGGAACGCATGCACCTGCTTGCTGCTGCGACAACCAATGAATGAATGGATGAATGAACGAACGGTTCGCTGGATAAAGACCACGGAACGGCGGGACAACTTCTAGGCAGGGGGTCGTCTGTGTCAGTAGAAGAAGATTTCGCGGCCCAGACGATATCTTAAGCTAAAGGTTTACATGATACCCATTACACCACCGCCCTTCGCGCAAGCACCGCCACTAAGGACAAAGGCTACCCTCGTTGGACAGAGAGCCAGTAGGCTAGGTCGTGGAAATACTCTCCCTCTCACTGCCTGGGGATGGCAGTTTTCTTTCATTGAGACCTGGCAAAATACGTTTGTTTGCTCAAATCGTAGACTCTCTTACGATTTGCGACATGGTGTCGTTTGTGCAGCAGCGGCTACGTGACGTAATCTCTACACCTACTACCTGGCATCTACACCACCACCTCTGCTTGCGCCATCTCCTACTGGTGGTCTAGACGTCCTACACGCCGCTCCGGGGCTCGTGAAGCGTGGCCTCATCCCGCCACGTTGTAGGTAGGCGTCTTTACTTGTTTGCACACGTGTGTTCGGAATGTACAGTAGACTCTGACAAGCATAGTCTTTGGAAACATTAGCCTAAATTGACTATATACATCTGCCATCCACATGCAGCCTATTCCCTCATCTCAAAAACCATAACCCACACCAACCGGTTAATGCAAGGTCAGTGCATCGTGGATAGTCTAGTGCTAGGTTGGCGGGCCAGAGACGTGACATACAGTCGACCCCGCTTTAAAGACACACCACGTTTTGGCGCCCCCCCCGGTGTTTGCCATCGGGGTTGGGTTTTCGTCGCTTGGCAACGACGTTGTAAAACAAGCCAATTCACTTCGTGAACTCGGCAACCAGGTTACGTTTTTTTTTTTTTCCTCCGTTTTTTTTTTTGGCGGTAACCATAATGGTGGTCGAGTAGATCATGTTGTGCGGGGTGGAGAACCCTCGCTCCGCGCAAGGGGGATGATCGCACCACGTTGTGTTAAAATGGTCAAGCACCCTCGAGGCAGTTACACAGTGCTTACAACTGTCTCTGAAAGTGAAAGCACCAGAAAATAAATTAATTCATACGCAGCTGTCATCCGTACGCAAGGAAGTAAGCACAAGATGCCGAAAACCCTTAGCAGGATGCAGCGCACCCTTCATGCGACTCGCCGAATATCTCACGGCGCTTCGCGCTTGGTGATGTGAGAGCCTGGTCCGGTGAGAACCCGGCGTGCTCCTTCCCGGCTTAGTAGGGATGCGAGGTCAATGGTCTAACGACTACGGTATGCACGACTATGAGTACACCCCCCCCCACGTTTTCCAAAAAAAAATGTGTATTTAACGCGGGGAAGTGTCTTTATAATTCCGGGGCCACTAACGCACCATTCCCGGGGCCAATGAAGGCGAAACACATGTCAAAAGGTGCGCATTCGCAGCAGAAAGGCGACCACAAGAGGTGTTGTTTGAAACCTACGACACAAGGTGAATTGAAGGTCGCAACCACTGCTGCTATTGTGCTGCAATACATACTTGCATACCATCGTTTGAATTTCCCCGTACTGTACCACCAAAACGCTGAAAGCGATGATGTTCTACGACCTACGCATCGTACATGTACACGACGGTAGTGCGCTGATGTTGATATGGGCTTAATCATTTGCTTCATTTTATTTTTTTGGCGTTGTCCTCCCCGTGAATATCTTGCCCAAGATCTCGCTACCGCACCTGAGAAATATCGAAGATTGTAAAACGACACTAGGAAAATGTAGGTTACGCAGAAACACAGTGACCAAAAATGTCGAGAAAGCACAGCGACAAAGAGGACACCGCGCCTCCCAAAAGGTCAAAACGAGGCACAACACAAGACCAACGCCAAATTCAGCCTCACGAGACTTCACCCCAGGCAAACAACGAACGTTGGCAATAAAAGTGCTTTGCTCTCGAAACCACAAACAACACCCGCCACATATCCCGAAGAGTCACCTGCACCTCCCCCCCCTTCTTTGCTCTTCGCTTGACCTGAGTTTCATGAGTAAACGAATGCACAGTCTTCGAAAGAAGGTACGCCGTTTCGCTGTACTCGCCGTCGCTTCCATGTGTGTACAAGTAAGAGCGGACATCTTCGAGACGAGAGCGAACTACAGGTGCTGCAGCACATTTTCTGGGGGGTCGAATGGTGGAAAACCCTACCCCCCCCTAATTTTCACATCTGCGGGGCACCTTAAAACGGGGAGTGTTTTTAAAAATGGTGTCTTTAAAGCGGGGACGACAGGATACATATGGTAGGCTACTGTTAAGGAGACCGAGGTTCGCAGGGTATCCGTCGATTAACTGTTACCAGAATCGGTACTCCGTCGGTTCACTTTTGCTTGAATCGGCACACCTTCGCACATGGCGTCGTCTGCAGGACACTGGTTCTAATCTTTCTGTGTGCACATTTTTCTCCTGACTTGACATTTTCCCATGAACACAACGTGTGTCAGTCCCGATGAGAGCACCTGTTGGAGTCAATCCTACAAAGAATCTGCGACACTTCCATCGAATTACCCATCCTGGCCACACGAGTTTCAGTTGAGGGAAAACTGTGGGTGGAGAGTGTTAAGGAGGCCCCGATTCGCAGGGTGGTATCCGTCGATTAACTTTAATAACCAGAATTAGCGTCGAATATTGTGGGCCGTTGCCGGGGGGGGGGTTGCCGGTCACGTACTTCGCTTCCTGCTTTCTTCTTCGACATCCTCGTCCGAGGGAGCGAGCGTTAAGGCGATGACAGGAACATTCTGCATTTTTGCGGTTGACACGACCGAAGCTGAGGACACTCAAGACGACAAGAAGAGCATCTGGCGAGCAAACTTCTCTGCTAGCCATTGTTATCCGATGGGAAACGCTGCGCCGGAATTCAGGCGATTTTCAACGCCCGCTGTTTCAAGTCGTTGCTTGACGGGACGTTCCAGTATATTTTCTATGCATTGATTGCTTTGCCGTCTTTCAAGTTATGGCGTTTGTTTCTCTCTCTACTGCTATTCGGCGCTTTGTATCGTGGTACGCTACGTTACTCTGACGCGTGTTTTGTGTGGTGTGAGCTGGTATGCGTAGTCATCCCCACAGTCTCTACAAACGGACCGGTCGCGATCGATGGCCCTTGCCGTCTAGGTTGTGATTCTCAGTAGTCATTTACATGTATGTCATGTGTGGTGTGGGGGGTGGTTTGCTGGTTTGGAGCATTTTAACGAGGATGATTTCATTCTCCGACACTAAAGTTTTGTGTGGCCATTTATGGAAAGTCGCATCTTCGATCTCCATCATGTTTTGAATGTGGTTGAGGATGTAGAGCACCTGCATACCGTAAGAATCGGGGTCTTCGCACACTGTGCGGTTGCCTTTTTAAATGTCTTCGTTCTTCGCACAGGGGTGCGGAGACGCCGATATGTGCGGAGACCCCGATACATGCGCGGAAATAGAATTAAATGATTTGGTTGTACAGTATTATGGCACACCCTGTGCGATGACGCCGACATGTGCGGTATTGAATAAAATTGAAGGGGGGTAAGGTGGGGTGCTTTGAACGCACACCCTGTGCGATGACGCCGACATGTGCGGTATTGAATAAAATTGAAGGGGGGTAAGGTGGGGTGCTTTGAACGCACACCCTGTGCGATGACGCCGACATGTGCGGTATTGAATAAAATTGAAGGGGGGTAAGGTGGGGTGCTTTGAACGCACACCCTGTGCGATGACGCCGACATGTGCGGTATTGAATAAAATTGAAGGGGGGTAAGGTGGGGTGCTTTGAACGCACACCCTGTGCGAAGACTCCGATATGTGCGCTCCAAATGACATCACAGCGGACATTGCAGTACTCAACGTGAAAGGTAGTCCTGCATGATCCGTCGAAACACAGGAAAAAAACACGCACACACACATACCCGGCAAAAAAAAAAAGAGACGCGGCGAAACAAGAAAAACGCGGCGAAATACCTAGGCGACGGTTTCCTTTTTTTTCCAATTCCCCCGCACCCAAGGGTTGTGTCCCGTTTGTACCTCGTACACACGTAACACGTTAGCTACGATGTCGGAGGAAGCGAGCGCGGGCTCTGCCTTCGCGTCACAGGCCTCACAGGTCTCACAGGCCTCACAGGCCTCACAGGCCTCACAGGCCAGTGCTGGTGGTTCTTCCTCGGTAGACCAGGGACCTGCCGCTACCGACGCGAAGGCTTCAGGAGAGGCTATCGACGAGATGCTGGCCGCAACTGACCCCGACAGCAAAAAACGCAAGTACCCAGAGCCCGGCTTCCCAACTAAAAGGTCAGGGGCGGAAAGAAAGGTAGCTACACGGTCGGGTTCAAACTCAAAGCGGTCGCATTCACACGCGTCGTCTGCGAGGACGGAAAACCGGTGGGAAACAGCGGTGCAGCGAAAGTTCTCGACGTGCCCCGCAGGCGTATCGTCGAGTGGGTGCGCGACGAGGAATCGCTCAGAGCCAACGTCAGCGCCAACCCCAAGCTGTCTAAGGCCAAGCAAATTCACGCTGGAGGCAAAGCTTCGACAGCCGACATCGAAGAAGCCCTGGTGGAATTCATCAACGATCAGCGCAAGCATCACGTCGGCTGTGGTAGCATGGCGGTCATGAACAAGCTGCTTGAGTTGAAGCCTGATGCCGCTGGCGGGCTGACAGCCAAGCCGAAGCCGGAGGAGGCGTTGGCTTTCAAGTAAAAATTCAAGAGCTGGTACCAACGTTTCCGCAAACGGAACGAGTTCAGCATCCGCCGGTGTACAAGCGTGGGCCAAAAGCTACCGAAGGGACACGAGGGCATGGCGTGGGCGACGTTGATGAAGCTGCGTAAGGCTCTCCTGGAGCGTGCTGGCAAGATCTACGCTCAGCGCTACCCGCCTGCACCTGGCGAGAACCCCATCAGAGGGGAGGACCTGAGCTCATCGCAGCTGGAGTTGGTGACCGACGAATTGTTCGAAGAACTGGGCAACATGGACCAGACGCCAGTCCAGCACGAGACGCCGGTGGAGCGACTCTGGAAAAGACCGGTGCGAAGGATGCCCGCATCGCCACCGGAGGTGAGAGTATGACTGCTGTGTTCAGTGTTTTCCTAACTTTTGCCATGAAGTGTCGTGCGTATTTGCGGTCGGCCGGATATTTGTTCTGGTCGTGATATTATTCACATGTTCTTGGAAACGTAATTCTACCGTTTGCATCCATTTCAGCCGGCGTCTGTTGCATTCGCACAATTTNCTTGCGGTCGGCCGGATATTTGTTCCGGTCGTGATATTATTAACATGTTCTTGGAAACGTAATTCTACCGTTTGTATCCATTTCAGCCGGCGTCTGTTGCATTCGCACAATTTTGAAACCTCTCCCCTACCCCCCAACATCGTGTATCCCCCCCCCCCCACCAGGAAAAGAGAAGGAACGCTTCACGCTCTGCCTGGCTGTCTCGGCGGATGGCAAGAAGGTCCCGCTGCGCATCATCTTCAAGGGTACGCCTTTCGTCCCGCCTGCCACGCCCGGGAAGGGAAAGGCGACTCAGCCGCGGAAGAACTCTATCGCGTGGGAGGTACTTCCTGCGAACCGCTCCAAGCACGGGCTCCCCGTGGGAGGCATGTCCTTCGGGGTGCAGGAGAAGAGCTGGTGTGACCTGCGGGAGTGCAAGCTCTGGATCAAGGACAGCTGGAAGCTCCGTCCCAACAACGGCAGCATCGTCCGGCAGCGCCGATGCATCTTGGTGCTGGACGACTTCAAGTGCCACAAAGACGATGGCTTCATCGCGGCCCTCAAGAGGGAAGCCAACACCATCGTCATCTTCATTCCAGGCGGGTTGACTCCTCTCCTCCAACCGCTGGATCGCATGCTCAACAAGCAGATGAAGCGGCTGCTGCGGGGCATGTACACGGCACACACGGCAAAGGCGGCCAGGGACCCCAAGACGGGCAAGCTGGCACCGCCGGGGCGTGGGGCCGTCGCTACTTGGTGCAAGAACGCGTGGGCATCCATCACCCCCGAGACAGCCAAGACTTGCTTCAAGATCTGCGGCCTCACGCTCGCGCTCGACGGCAGCGAAGACCACGCCTGGTGCCTGCACAACTTCGGGGACGGCTACCGCGAGCTCCTGGAGCAGCAGCGCGTCGAATGGCTTGCGGAACACCCCAACGTGACTCTGCCGCCGCTCCAACTTCCGAAGGTACCAGCCGAATCAACCGCCAATCACATCGAGGCTGCAGCAAAGGAGCTCGAGGCGGGGCTTTTGCCTCGCGGCGACGACAGCGACATCGAGATTGAGGATGACGACAGCGATGTAGAAGTCGTGGAAGGGGCGGGGGATGAAGAAGTGATCGAGCTGTAAAATACCGCCGTCACGTGGGAGTACCAGTACAGTAGAGGTTTGGTTTGCAACATGTTGGTAGGAGACTGGCGCTAGAACTCTGTGATGCAGAGGACAGCGGCTTCTAGAGAGGGGTTTTTGTTTGGTGCTACATACGAACGTGGAACAATACTTCCAACGCGGTCCACGAGCATGTGCCAGTAAAGTTTTCCAGAATACTTTTGTGGAGATCGCTACTTTCTGCCGGTTTTTCGCACGAGTCCTGGGTGGTAGTTTGTTGCGGTGGTTTCGATGAAAAAACAAATAAAAATTATCACACGCTGAAAAACAAATATACTTTTAAGTCCGGCGGGTACCGTATTACAAAAAACGTGATTGCGCAGAGGTACATGAGCACCGCACGGCGCCGAAGTTGATTCTTCATCAAACACGCCCCTACTTGTTTAGCGCACAACAAGACTGGACACCGCTCTTGGAAGCGCCCAACCTCATTGCTGGGATCGGGGTCTCCGCACAGTGTGCGTAGACCCCGATCCCTGTGCGATAATCGAATTAAATCATGTGGAACCCGGTTTTTGTTCCGCACCTCTGTGCCATGACCCCGACCCGTGCGGAGACGCCGATCCGTGCGAAGACCCCGATTCTTACGGTATTTGCATGCGACTTCCCAGGGTGGGCTGATATGTAATGGGGCAACTAGTGTTGAGCGTTGTATGAGCTTTGCAAGAGCATGACATGGATATTTTGTATTTCGTGGGTTGCCGTGACGACATGTGCGTATGTAGGATTCCAACCCCCGTCCTCACTCTCTCCGAGTGGGCGCTGAGCGGACCTGGCATAGGCTAAAACAAGCCATCAAACAACAGCTGTGAAAACCCGAAGATAGGAGCAACGAACTGCTCCCTTTTTATTTCTCTGTTCCTCCGTAACATACACCTTCGCAAGTTGGTGATATATCGCCAACGAATTGGGGTCGGTTGTTCTGAAGCCCGATAGGAATTCAGTTTCTGTCGCCGATATTCTCACAATCTATACGATGTATTCAAAAACGACCCCACTTTTTTGACCCTACCAAAAAGTGACCCCGTCAAAAAGTTACCCCACTCTGCATTTCACTTGGTTTTAGAGAAGGCGATCTGTGTTTTTCTTCAGTCGATGTTTCTCGAGATTGAAACGACAGATTTTCGTGTGGGTTGAACGAGGTGTCCCTCCTGGCCCGATGGACCCCTCCTGTGAGTTTCGTGCTAATGCTTGTGTCAGCTCGTGAGAACGCGTCCGTTCTTGTATGTCTCATTCGTATATCTCCCCCGTGCGGGAACAACCGAACCCCCCCTCCTCCATCACTACCCCCAGTTTCACCCCCACTGGCCGAAAGTACCGCCGCACCCACGACGGGAAGGATGCACGTCAACGATTGGTACAGAGTCATGCACGAAAGTCGACGACTTGGGCCACAGCCCTGCTAACAATGAGTGAAACATACCTCAATTTTTCGCCGATCACCACTGACCAAGGCAAGGCAAAAGGCAGTGCTCGAAAGCAGAGCACATCTCACCAGCACTTTACTGCTGAAGTATGTAACCTCATGAGGATGTTGTGTGCACGATACTTTTCTCCTTCCAGACTGACTGTGGACCACAGCGATATACAGTCTTTGGATCACTGACCGCACTCAGTAGTCAGCATATTCTATTGTCTCTTCCAGACTGATTGTGCTCATTGTGAACGACAGTGAGCACGTCAGTCACCATTTCAACATGCATACATGTTCATCAACTACATGAACCCCATAGATAGGCACATCCCATGTTCTCCTCTTCCCCCTAGGCCACAGGCCACACATCTCGCAAGAGATCAACCTCATCAGGACGTGCACCATCCACCTTGCAGCACTACATGTAGTCTACTGCTGCTGTTGTAAGGTTGCACAAATATGTTTTTCGTCTCCCACTCTGAGGAACACACGCAGCAGTGTAGTCGGCATACAGTGGCATCGAACTCTTGTCAGGGCGTGTCTACCTCCACTTGCGTGGACAGGATCTACGTCTGGTACTGCGTATGCATGAATGTATTTGTACGGCATACATCCGCAGCCAATTGCCAACCATGGCACTTCTTCTGTAGATACGTAGATACAGCAGTAGTTCGACTGCCAACTGCCAACTTTGGACTTCTATAGATGCGCAATTCGACTGGCAACCATCGTCGCTGCAGTCTACAGGTCATACGCCTGCAATGCCCGTCTGCTTGTGGCACACACACAACACCCAAGCTGCTGAGATCATGTACGCCCGGCTTGCCGCCTTCGCGGCTATCCTTATCTTGTTCGCGTCGACTCCGGCTTTGAAGAGGAAAGCTCCTCCTCACAAAGCCTTGCCGGTACGAAAAAGTGATGCATCCACATGCAACGACCCACTTATTGGCGCCCGGAACGGAACGGACTCCGGCGGCAATCCTCTCCCTGATGAATCCGTGTTACTCCTCGGAGGCGGTACGCGTCAGATCGGGCTAGCAGCTGCGCGGGCAAGTCGTTCCGCAATGCGTACGAACGAAACCGCCTCTGCGCGCGCCAACGCCCTCAACTTATGTCAGCAGAGGGCGAACAAGAGAGCCAAGCACTTCCTCAACTTCTGTTATTTTATCGGGTGGTACTTGTGTCCGTTTTATGATTGCCCGACCTCGACATATTTTAGCGCCCTTTCACTACATAGTACCTGGTACACGTATTGTATTCTTGTACTACACGAGGTTTCATTTTCCTGTCTGGTTGTACTGTGCATGTATGTATCTTCCGCGTTTATTTCGACTCCATATTCCCGCGTGTATTTTCCCCGTCGTCCTTGACTACAGCAGTAGTACCTGGTGAACGTTTCGTAGCGCTCGACTACACGAGAAGTCATTTGTGAGGCAGACGCTTTCCCGCCTTGCTTTTCCTCGCCTAGTTTTGTTGACTGGTTGGACTGCATTATTTCTCGAGTTTATTTCACTCGTCGGACTGCATTGCATGCCACTTCCCACTTGCGTGTCTATGAGTGGTCTGCGTACTGGTTATGGAGGTTTTTCATCTGTGCACATTTTTTCGAGTGGGACGTGTGTCCGTTGAATAATTGCCCGACCTCGACATATTTTAGCGCCTTCATTGTCGTCGTCGTCCTTCACTAGTACCTGGTACATGTGTACTACTGTGAACGAGGTTTCATTTTCTCATCTGGTCGGACTGCCTTAATTTACCGCTTATATTTCGATTTCATTTTCCCGCGTGTGTTTGACTCGGCGGACCTTACTCCACTTTGCCCTTGCGCGTGTATAACTCATCTTGGCGCCTGGCCTTGCCTGGTTTCTGATTTCTTTTGCGGTTTGCCGTTTGGTTGCGGTATTGGCCGTGCTGCAGACATATGCCGGGACTATCACAAAGAAATTTCACCACATCTTCGCTCTCACACTACAGTAATAACCCATCGGGGCTGCCCTGGGCCATTTTCTCCCGTACTTACTTGACGGCCGGAGAAACAACTGTGGTTCACGCTTCCCCGTCTACTCAGCAAAGCGTAGCCTAGTCGATCCTCATCCGACGCCGATGGCTACCATGGTCACGGCCGACGGCCTCCTGTCGTTTTTCCGACTCGGTACCCATGCCAACGCCAAGTCAAGACCGGGGGAAAATGTTGCTTCTTTCCTTCGTTCAACTTTTTCTTCATCACCGCGAACAACAATAACATCATCGACCCCCACATAGATAGATATACCCTTCCTGGCCAAAAAAAGGAACGGAGTTCCGTGAGGCCGGGGCTAACCCCGGGCTGTTATTAAGATACAGTACAGATGGCGCTCGCACTTAAGAACTTAGCAGTTGAGAAATGCAGCCTCGAAAATATCAAAATTGAAGAACTTGGCCATGAGAGCACGTGCTTACTTCCGACGTGGTATTAAGAACAAGAACCCGTATTTGTCGTTTGACAAATCGCCTTCGGACAAGAACACATCCCCCCAAAAGTGGCAGCTGAAAGGTAAGAACTCATGAAGGTGGTGAGGGGTGACTCACGGGGTGTCCGGTGACCCCACCCACCGGCAGTTTCAGATCAGCGACGAGTAGGGGGATCTCCGTTTCAAACACTACCGGTGCGGAGGGGGCGGGGGGGCGGCGTACTCTTATGCTTTGCTTGTCTTAGTGATTAGACCATTGACCACGCGTCCTCGAGAGGATGGAATATTGTTCCCACAGGCCCAAAGACCGATGACCAATCGTTCCCTGGTACTTTACCAAAAATGGTGTCTCAAAAATGCTTCCGCTAGCCTATCTATCCTATCTTAATCACGTCCCGCCTCTTCAACCCACGTTCTATGCCCCAGTACAGCTACCTAGCTGGTATTCCATGCCTCAAACATCTCCCTGTATCTTCCATACACTTTTCCCAAGGCTCAGTCACGTCAAATCTCCTCTCCTTGTACAATAGACATTCCATAACTTCATGAATCAGGCGTTCGCACTCGGAGCCGCGTTCACAACTTACCTTGGTCGGTGCGGACGGGGGGGGGGGGGGG